TCATATTAGACAGAGAAAGGATTGAGATAGTTAACAATTTAAATTTGCTTAAATCCACAATCAATACTCTTGGCATAACCAGTGAGGAAATAAAAAGATAAATTGCACAGATAAAATCTGCTGTCAGGGATCAAAGAACTGAACAATGAATAAGGATGACTGAAGGAGAGTCTATGTGTTTGAGATGTGGTGCTAGTGAATATTGAACATAACATGGGCTGACAAGAATACAAACAGCTTTGTCCTGGTGAGGGTGAAAACAGTTGCTTGGTTCCACGATCAACGTGCTTGAGACCAGCAGTCAGGAAATGAAAAGGCCAATTAAATTTGGAAAGTCTGCTGTCAGGGACCTCCCTAGAGTATTGAAGAGCAATAATGTCAGTCTAGAGAATAAGGTGTTCCTGATATAGGCCGTGGTCTTCACAATTACTTGCTATGCATCAGAGAGCTGGGTAATAACTAAGGATGATAGAAAAAGGAACAATGCCTTTGAGTTGTGGTGCTAGAAAAAAAGTTGTTGAACATAACATGGACAGCCAGGAGAGCAAACAAATCTGTTGGAGAAGTTGAAGCCAAACTGCTCCCTGAGGCAAGGATTTTGAAGTTCTGTCTCATATTACTTTAGACACGTGTACAGGAGGGATGAGTCTTTGGAGGGGGGCATCATGCTCTGAATGGTGGAGGGACAGCACATGATAGGAAAAGCCAGGATGAGATGGATTGACACAGTTACTGTAGAAATAGGATTAGGTTTGTTATAGATGATTAGATTAGCTCGGGTTAGGGGAGGTTTCAGAGCTAATGTACACAGGGTTGCTAATAATTGCAGGTGACTCAATGGCAAATAATAACAGCAATGATTTCATTCTGTTCTGAATGATTCAAGTGAAGTGTTATTTCTGGACTTATGATTTGAAAATGTAAATAAATTGTATGGATTAGATGATTTTATTTAATTGTATTGAAGATCAAAAAACATTTATTTCTATTTAATTAAAGAATAATCAGATTAATCTTACTCCAAGTAACTGATTAGCTTTTGTTAATCTGAGAGGCATTACTTCTGAGGAGGTATTGTGGTCAGTGTCACATCTATTAGCTCTAAAAAATTCCATTTTATTACTCTATATAATCAAGACACACATGAATAAAAGGGTGTTGTAACACTGAAATACTTCACTAAGGAGATTTACTATTGTCAACCTTACTTTCTTTTGGATCATCCCTGTAAATTCTAAAGGACAATGTTGCAGTAATCTTTTAAGAATGACATTTTTTTCTTCAGTTGAAAATTTCATTCTAGTCACTTTTGCTCTCATTAAAAAACTTTGTCCAGTTAAAAATAGAGAAAAGACAAGATGTGGCATCATGTGACTTAGTGACCAGGAAAGTAGTCTGATCCTTCTATTGCTTCACTCCAATTTGAGAAGTTGCTTGATTTCTCCAGTATTGGCCTATGTGAAACGTCTGCAAGTGTTCCGTGGAAGAATGCCTATAAATAGAATGACTAATTCCGATCTTGAACAGTTATATTGCCCTTAATGGAAAAATTAAATATATCTGCCTAGATTTGGCATTCTTCATTGGCAACTGCTATATGATATGAAGCCATTGAAGCATTTTAAGATGCCAAAACCTGTACTGATGAGTCACAGAAAACCATTGACAAATGGTCTTGGCTTCAGTTCCTTCACCTAGAAGAAAAGCAGATAAAATGTGATTGATTTATTCTTTCATAGGCACTGGAGTAGAGGTTTTACATAGAATTCTTATTTTTAATATATTATCACCCACTCTTTTATTATCAAAACTCTCCATTATTGTTATTCACTTTTAATGGTAAACTAAGTTAACCTACGTGAGTGTTATCTTTCTATATTATCACATAGAGAGAAATATTTAAATATATTCCTTGAAAATCAGAAAGGGCATATTGTTGTTGTTATGTGCCATCAAGTTGACTACGACTCATAGTTACGCTATGAGCAATACCTCTGAACCCTGCTCTATCTTGAGTCATTCTCACTGTCTCTGATACACCTGCCTTGATTGCCACAGCAACTCTCAGTCCATCTCATCGAGGTTCTT